TAATGTTTTACACTTTAAGTGATAATATGCTTATTTGATGATTAGTATGTGTTTACTTGATGAATGATAATTTATGAATATGTGTCTACTTGATGTTGTGTTCATCTCTTTATTTGATGATAAGTAAGTATAATCTCATTTTAACTACATCACAGGATATAGATGTTATGTGTTTGAGTGATGATTGAACATAGAAATTATAAGACTTGTGTTGATAGCTTTGTGTTCATATGTTACTTGATAATTGATCACTTATGAAGTTGTGCTTGCTTGATGATATATTCATGTGTTTACTTGATAATAGCATATGTAATTCAACTTATCACAAGACAAGTATGTTATATGATTTTGTGTTCATATGTTTATTTGATGACTAATATGTGTAACACAACTCACCATGAGACAAAGATGATGCATGATTTTGTGTTCATGTGTGTTTGATTGATGATTGAATGATGTACTTACTTGATGTTTTGCACTTTAAATGATGATATGTTTACTTGATGATCGGGTGTTATAGAATTGTTGTGTTTATATGCTTAATTGATGATTGAATATATGTGATTAAGTGTTTACTTGATAATTGATAAGCGCAATCTAAATCATATGTTTACTTAATGATTGAACACTTGTGAGGTCACTTATTGAATTTAGGTTACATGATTACTTGAGGATACTTGGTTATATGTTCATGTGTTTATTTAATGTTATATGGTTTGGATGTTCATGTGTCTAATTGAGGTTTGCACTTAGATTGCATTCACGCCATGAAAGTGTTTTTATCATAATTTATGAATTTAAGAAAAAAGACATGTGCATGTTTTAAAAAAGGAATGACGGCTAGACATGTTTAAAGACAGACTTACAAAAGGGAGTGATCAATCCTTTGTAAGGATTATGAATGGAATATGTCTAGTGCTTTATGATTTTTCATAAAAGATGATTTTTAATGAGGATTGAATATGTATACATCTAGCGAGGTGCTCCCGATGATAGAAAAAATATTTCAATAGCATAAAAAATGTATTTCCTTGCCTTCATACATAATTACACTTACCGAGCTTTAGCTCATAGTTTGTCTTATGATGTATAGGTAAACTCAATGATACATGAAGAATGTTGTGGAGTTAAGGATGCTGACAAAAGCGAACCGAGTTTGCCAAGGTGTGTATTATATGTATAAGTATAAAGTCTAAAGGCTAAACACTTTTTAAGTTTCATATGTTGGCTATTTTGGTTTGTAAACTTAAGTTAATGTATAAACATGATCCGAGGTGATGAAATGATTTTCATTTATGAAATTAAATTGAGAGCTTATGAAATGGATTTATTATTAATGAAAATTGTTGGTTTTAAATACAAACGTGTTAAGTTAAATGTGACCTTGAACTTTAAACCTAAATAATTTCGTTGTGCATTACATGAGATAGAAGACATAGGGTTTAGTGTCTTGCATCTTACGAGTGTGCGGTAACACTCTTAGTCTCTTTTAGGCGGGGAAGTTAAAAAAATGCTCTACAACCACTAAAAGAAAATTTTTTAATTTTAATTCTTAAAAAATTAACTTAAAAAAATAAAAAAGCCTAGAAAACCAACAAAGCATAAAAATAAAAAGGGGAAATAATTGAAAACCCTTAAAAAAAAACCTTTTAATAAAGTTTGTTGGACTTGAGTTTTCAAATCTTTCATTAGCTATCAATGATTTTATATACATGGGTTATTTTAGTTTTCTTGACGTGTCAAGCTTTTAAGTTTTTAGTTTTTTTTTTTAAATTTTTTTCTAGTTTTTGTAAACTTTTGTTTTTTATTTTCTAGATTTGTCAAGTTTTGTTAAGGTTTGGAAAATTAATTATTATTTTTTTATGTTTTGAAGATTAATTTTTTTTATTGTTGTTTAAAGGGCATTTTTGTCCTACAAATAGTTAAAAAGGTATATGAAACATAATATTAATATACAAATGCGTAAGATTGAAAAATTCTAAAAAAAATATATGAAAACATAATCCAATATATAAGAATAGATTAATATAATCCTAAAATTTGTTATGATTTAATGCTAAAATTATCGGTCAAAATTTATTGATATGACATAACTTAGCATGTTGAATGAAGACAAGTAATATGCATGTACAAAAGACATCGTCTAGCATCAGTTATATTTAAAGAAAATTTAATAAAATCATATTATTTGGTATTCAATTATTAATAGGGTGATAGGTTAAGGAGTTAGGTATTGTATTGAGGTTTTCCATTTACTTTTAGATATTAAAAAAAAGAAGAAGTCAATTTGATCTAAGGGATGGCACGCGAGCACATGTGAAGCTTCAAGTACAAACAAAGTTCAATGATATCTTATAAATTTCTTTAAGTAACATTAAAGAAAAAGAAAGTTATCCTATGAAGAACTCGAGCAAAGCTATATGGCTAGAAAGCGTAGGCCGCTTGCCTAAGGAAAAGAACAGCCTACAAATAAAATAAAAAAATTCTTGGTGCCTAGAAAATAGTAAATTATAACACGGTCCCTTTAATCTAATAAAACTAATTAATTAGTCTTAGTTTTTGGCTAAAAATCACATCTTGTCCTTATACTCTTCATTTTTGGTTATTTTAATCCTTTTGTCCAGTTATTTTGCAAATCAAACATATACTACTCAAAGTTGAAAAAAATCAACCTTTTCATTTAGTTTCATTAACCACGTATCAGCATATAATTGGTCAAATGTCAGATGAAATGACTGATTTATCATAATTTTGAATAGTATAAAGTTTGATTTGTACCATAATGACGTTTTTCACCTTTGAATTATTGAAACTTATCACATTTAAGCCTATATTCTCAATTTTATCCTTAAACTATTATATTTTGGATAAACACCGCCATTTTATTTTATTTGACAATTATCATTGACAATTTTTTTTTAAAAAAAAAATTGAAGGTTTGACATTTTGAGTTGAATCTTTTTACATATGCTAATAAGAATTTAATCTAATTTAAAAAATATTTTCAAATAATTTTTTAACTCAAGAGACATTTTTTAATTTTTCTTAAACATTAAATATTAACAAAATTATAAAAAATAAAAACTAATTAGGAATTGTTCCAAAATTTGTTAGAACCACTAAAATAAAATTATATAATTAGTGTCAATATGATTCTAAAAATATTTGCATGATCAAATGCATAATACCTAACTAAATTTAAAATATATTAATTTTAAAAGCCACATCCGCAAAAATTTTAAGAACCATATTAAAATTATCTAAGTAAATTCATATCATCTCTCTAGGACTCTCAAAACATTTTGAAAGAATTCCATCTTATTTTTTATTTTTCATGATTTATTAAATTTTTTACTATTCAAAAAAAAAAAAAAAAACTTTCCAACTTTTAAAAAAATCAAAATTAATTTAAAAGTGGATTGAATTTTAATTAACATTAATGAAAATTTTCAATTGAAAAGCCAAAATATGAAATTTTTTAAAAGGGTTTTTTTTTTTTATAAAAATTAATAGTCAAATCAAATAGAGGGATCATAGTTGACCAGACATAATACAAAATAGATTAAATTAATAATATAAGTTTCAATAATTCACGAAAAAAAAGACATTAAACCGTCTTCCACCCCATGGTTCACTTAAAAAAAAAAAAAAAGGCCAATGGATTAAGTCATTAACAATGACTAATTATTAGTTCTTATAAACTACAAGGACTAGGTCACAATTAACTCCTACAAAATATGAATCACAGACCCACATATCACAATATAAACCCACTTCATCAACATGTGATGTGAACTATATATTTTTTTGGAACAAAATCTGAAATATTCTTTTCACTGTTTTTGAATCTGGACTGTCCCCTTTAACTAATCATGGATATTAAAGTTTCCCCTTCAAAATGAAAAATAATCCAAAGTAAATGATCAGTGATCACTCACAAAACAGAGAAAATTATAAATTAGTTTCTTTCCTTTTGAGAAACGAATTAATTAGTTTTTTTTAAAAAAAATTTAATTATTTAGTCCTTCATGTTTAATTTTATCAATAACTTCATTTTTCACTAATTTTCTATTAAATTATTAATTTTTTTTCAAAATATTTTTTTTATGTCTTTTTTCTCTCACTTTCCTTTTCCCTCCTCAATCAAAAAAAAAAAAAAAAAAGCGACAATTTGAAAACAAAAATCACTAAATTATGAAAAAACTAAATTATTAACGAAATTAAAACATAAAAAACTGAATAATTAATGTTTTTAAAAGATTAATTAATTTGTTTCTCTAAACTAGAAGAAAGAACTAATTTATAATTACTGCCAACAAAAACAGAGCATCACGTTGGACAAGGAAGAGAACAAAGCAAAGCCCATCAAAGATAATAAAATGATGATCATTTTGAGTAAAATTTTGGATAATTAAACCAGACAATCTGCAATCCATGTGGAGGTGCTGGTCTCCTACCAGCTCACAATAACGAAGCACTAAGAGCTCAAAAGTAGGTAAAAGCGCATTTTTAATAAGCGCAGAGGGCAGCCCCAAGTCTCAGAAGGCACGAAAAAGTTGCCCACTACAGCCTTTTTTTCTGCATATTTTTTATCCCACTGCAGACAAAATTCCAAGGTGCTCAGACACATACACATGACGCACCCATACATTACATTGATAGCTACATTTCCCTATTCAGATTAACAGCTGAAAGAAACTGCACTAAATCCTTTGAATTCATTTATACAATGTTCAATTTTGACAATAATTACTAGTTACTATCAGAAGGGAAATTGGAGGAAAAAAAAAAGGTGCCAAAATGGTCAAGGAGAAAAAGAAAAGAGTGGAAAAAAGGGGGAAAATAAACAAAAACCCTCCAAAAATTAGTAAAATACAACTGCTAACTAAAAAAAAAAAAAAGGAAACAAAACTAAAAACATCAATTAGCATACAGAGACCTCCATGAAGTTCCAACCTTTATAATAATCTTGAATTATGCCTAAACATACCTGATTAATTTCAATAATCAGGCATGAGCTGGCTAATCTTGCCTTCTTCGAGTGCCATCTTTTGTTCAGTAACCTTCAACCAAATGCAAACCCCAGTAAAACTGAGCACCAAACTTGCGAACCCACTTCCTAAACCGATCCCAACAATGGCCAAAACTGACAAACCCTTAGTCTTCATTGGAGGCAAAGGGTAGCCAAAAAGATCCTTATTTCCTTCAAAAGAAGTGGCATTGAATCTTGGTAAATTACCACTCCTATTCCCTAATGAAACAGGTATTGGCCCAGATAGCTTGTTATTGCTCACATCAAAAGCCGATAGCCTTACTAGAAGACCAAGCTGTTGTGGGATTTGACCAGAGAAGAAATTATCATGCAAATCAATAACATTTAAATAAGCACACATTGCAAGCTGTGGTGGGATCTCTCCTTCAAGTCTATTTGATGAGAGATTAAGCACTGCGAGATTGACCAAGGACTGCAAATCTGCAGGGATAGGACCTGCAATTTGATTGGAGGAGAGGTCAAGTGACTGGAGATTGGTACAGTTTGCTAAATAAGGAGAAATCGAGCCTAGAAGAGAGAGGTTTGTCAGAGAAAGCTTGTAGATTCGACCATTGTTGCAAGTAGCACCGGGGAGATAAGAAGTAAAACCAGAACATGGGTTTGCAAAATTTGATTTTGTCCAGTTTTGAAGAGAGTTTGTTGGGTCTTTCAAGGATTGGCTTAAATGGGTTAAACATGCCTCATCACTCGGATCTGATATTGAGAGAGTTGCGCAGGTTAACAAAGCAAGCAAGAGCACTAACCAAAACCCCATCTAGAAATAGAGAGAGACAGAGAGAGAGAAAGAGAAATTGATTCTTGGCTTAGACAAGTAGACACTTTCTTTTTAATTCTTTTCTTCAGTTCAGCCTTAGTTTCAAAGGACAGAGAATGGGTGGGTGCTCCTGTATTTATCTTGTTTTCGTTAAGGTTGGGCAAGCCCACCTTTCACCAAAAAAAAAAAAAACACTTGTTATAACAAGCAAGATACAAAGTGGGAAAGAGGGCTTGTTCTCGTAGTTGGGACTTTCTTTTCTTCTTTTTTTATTGCTAAAATAACTGGTTAAAATCAACGGAAGGAAGAGAGAGAGAGAGAGAGGAGATGGCAGTGAAGAAGTGAAGAGGTTGGGGTTTGGTGAAAATGAAAGCTAAGATTGGGGTTTTGTGTGGGGTAATGACCTGCACGTATGAAGCGCAAGATAGTGACAACACGTTATCGGAGCATTGAGGACAATTTGGTCATTTTCTGTAAATGAAATGAGTAAAGGTTCCAATCCTAGGGAACCAGATGGGGGCATCGTTGTCGACCCACTCGGGTGTTTGTTCTCCAATTGACACATCCAAGGAAATGTATAAAGACATGAAGTGTTATGTTCCGTTGTTCTGTGTTCAACTATGTCGTAATATGAAGTTTTTATTTTTGATTTTTCTATTTTAAGAATATAAAACATTTGAAATTTTTGTTATAAAATCAATCTGTATCTGTCGAAATTGATTGAAGATAGTCGATTCCTTGAGATATATATATATATATATATATATATATATATATATATATATATATATATATATTGCAGATTAAGCTATATATTAATTAAAATTAAATTATATTTTGATGGGTTTAAATACATATTTGTGTATTTTATTCTATGATAAAAATGTTTTGGGTTAAATTGTACGACAATTAAAATTAAATTATTTTTTTATGGGTTTAAATATGCATTTTCGTATCACATTAATAATTTTTGTTTTAAATATTGATTTCAGGTTTAAATACGCATTTGTATATTTTATTCTACGATAAAAATGTTTCGGGTTAAATTATACATTAATTGAAATCAAATTATTTTTTGATGAGTTTAAATACGCAATTTCGTATGAGATTAATAATTTCTTTTTTAAATATTGATTTCAGGTGTTTGTACTGAAAAAATAAAGGGAAAAAAAAACAAAACAATTTGTTTTTAACCACCGAATCAACCTTCCTTTAGGTGTTGTATTATGAAGTGACGTGGATAGGTGAGTTAAAGAGTTTTCAAGTATATCCGTGACAAGGAATAATATCCGTTATCTGGTTCTCGTCCCGATTTTTAATGCTTTCACTTCATTCACACACACACACAGCGGACTCCCCTCCCCGCCACTAATCTTTCATAACTCTCTCCCATCATTTATAATTATTAACACCACTCATCACCATTCACATGACCTTCTTCTTTTAATCTTCTAGGATCTCTTTTTTTTTTTTTTTTATTTATTGGTTATAGTAATTTGCTATACATAGGAGTAAACTATAAATTAGGATATTTTTTATTTTTAAAAACTAATTATTTAATCTCTTCATCCGAATCAATTATACTTAATTTAATATTATTTTATTTTAAAAAATATTTTCTTTTTTCATCCATCTTTCCATATCTAGTTTTTTTTTTTTTTAAAAAAAAAGTAAAATAGAATATAAAATGAAACATAAATGACTAATTAATTTATTTCTCAAAATAGATGGGCTAACTTATAAGTTACTCCTATAAATAGTTGTAGCAACAATTTTGTTAAAAAACAATTAGTAGATTTCGAGTAAATTTTAAATTAACCCCTCTATTTTTTAGAAATGAATTAATTAATCTTTTTAAAAATTTAATTATTTAACTCCTAAACTGATTTTAATTATGCTTCATTAAATATTATTTTATTTCATAAAATATCATTTTTCATCAATCTTTTTATATTTTTACTTAATTTTTTAATTTATTAAAAAAATAAAAAAGCTAAACGAATTAAGTTACAAGAAAATTTAAAAATATTAAGATTAGATAATCAGTTTTTAAAATAATAAAGACTACTTAATTTATTTTTTGAAACTAAAGGGACTAATTTATAATTTACTCAGTTAACTAGCCGAAACGTTGGTTCCAAGTTGTACTTTGGTGCAGAAATCGCCGAAGGTGATGCAATCATGATCTCTCTCTCTCTCTCTCTCTTTAGATCCTCTAAGCATGCCATGTACAAAAGAATGATTAATGGTTCATGTTCTGTTCGACAACATAAAAATAGTTATTTATAAAAATTTAAACTTAAAATCATTTATTTACATGATTAGAGCTTATTTTATTTAAATTAATCTTTTTGATAATGTAATCATGATCTTTAGTGATTGATCTTTTTTCTTCCTTGATCATTGATTTGAAATTGTAACGGAGACCGGAGAGACAAGCCTCAGGATCAAATAAACAAAATTTTGAATTGTAGATATTATAATTAAAAAAAAAGTTTTATTACATGTGTAATAAAATTTTTATTCTGCTAAAAAAAGGCAATTTAACAATATTTGGTTACCTCTCAACCAAACTGTTAAATTTGTGGAACCCATAAAATAATTATGGTTTCAAGTGCTTAATCTCTTTACTGAGTTTTTATTACTTGCTGTATTTACTGCTTCTGTAACATGTCTCTAAGTTTACTTATATTTCATCCTTGTTAAAACAAAAGAAGAAGAAGAAGAAGATTGTAAGATAGAGTAAATTATAAATTACTCCCTTTAGTTTTTTTATTTCAAAAACTAATCATTTATGTTTTATATTTTAATTTGTTTTCTTTATGTTTCAATTTTTTTTAAAAAATAGAAAAAATATAAAAGGATTGATGAAAAAAATGGATTTTTTAAATAAATTAATATTAAATTAGACATGATCAACAATAAAAAAAGTTAAATAATTAGTTTTTAAAATAAGAAGGGTTAATCAATTCATTTTGTGAAAATAAAAGGACTAATTTATAATTTACTCGAGCATGGCAGGAAATCATGTAGGTTAGGAGTGGGTCCATGTCCAGGGGAGGCAGATGCTATAATGAATCAGTGTCACATGTCTGGGCAGAGCAGCCCTTAGAAACCCTTGGAGACGTGAGGTTCATAAGCTACTCGTACTCGAAGGACTTCCCTTTTGTTGTCTGTCCCAATAATGCAAAGAGTCACATTGATCTTCCAGCTAAGAACGCAAAAAGAAGATTTGGCATGCCTAATTTTGTGATCTCAGACATCACACGGCGTGCTTAAGAAAATAATCATCACATCAGATCGATTACATTTGCCAAATTTGAAAAGAAGAAGGGAATTGGAAAGTAAGAACAGAAAAAAAATGCTTGTTGGTGGGGTTTCTCCTAATTATGTTGCCTTGCGTTGCTTTTCCTCCTAGGGTCCAAGTTAGAGACCCTCTACTTGACCCAAACCTTACATTTTTTTGACCAAAATGCTTTCCCATAAAGTCTCACGTTTTGCTGATTCTTGAAACGCGGGTGATGCACAACAATGGAGCATAAATGGGTTTATTCCGTATTTGATACCTGTATGGTTTCAATTTTTTAATTGAAATCCTTAATTATTTTTTATTTTTATAAATTTATTGATTGAAACATTTTGTTATAATATCGTTAACTATTCATCATATATAACAAGTTAAAAATAATGATATAGCCAATCAGATAATGACATGTGGTATTTTTTAAAATTCATATTTTCATGTTTCGATTCTCGATTGACACGTGAGATAAATAATTAACATCTTTATAATAGAAGATTTTAATTAATAAATTTATAAAAGTAAAATGTTTTAATTAAATTGAAAAATAATATAATGTCTCGATAAAAAACATTACAATTGTACACAGATCAATTGTAGAATAAACTCGAACATAAATTAAAAAAACCTCAATTTAAGACGCATTGTAATGTTTCATTATCGATTGAGTCCTAAGTTTTTTTATTTATTTATTTTATCAATTTTGTTTTGAATGAAATCGAAATTCATTCCTTCATCCGTTTATTGCTATAAACAGATCGGCAATTGAAAGAATCCATTCGATTTGCACATGATTCTATATGATTTGGAGCTAAAATTATTTTTTTAGGCGATAAAGATGCTTATTTTGGTATCTTGGATAGAAACATCTAACAATCACGTGCAAATTAGACAAAATCTTTTTACTACACTAATGTTCAATGAATGAATGGATGAAATTTTCTATGTGTACTTTTGGAGTAAATTTGATAAAATTAAAAAATTTGAAATTCAATTGATAATAAAATAATACGTTATAAGCTAAATTGAGGTTTCTCCGAATTAAACTCAAGGATTGTTCGTTGAATCTTAAATGTATCTTCAAATGTAATTTAAGAACAAATAATTGCTTAGAATGTAATTGTTTTTGTATGGTTAAGCATAAAAAAAATGATTTATTATTTATTTATCGATATATATAATTTATATTACGTTAGTATTATATTTTAATTAAACCGTATAAAATCCAACTCGAGTTCTAAGTTTGCTTTATAATTGAAATTTAATTTATAATCATTAATATATAACAATAAAAACGATGATGATGAAAATTAGATAGTTGATGTATTTTTCTCAAAGCATATGGGATATAAGTCATTTAACAAATAATAAACACATAATTCAAAAATATAATCATGATTTCTAAACATAATATATATATAAGCATTTAACACGATCTGAATTGGAATTAATAAAATATGAAAGATAGTGAAAAAGAGGGGTAAATATAGGAGTGGCTTTAACTAGATAAATAGCATCACAGGGTTGGGGTCCGAGTCTCCTTATTAGCTAATAATAATATTTTTTAAAAAGTCAAAATCGTAAATATAGGAGTGGCTTTAATTAGATAAATACCATCTCTAGGTTGGGGTCCGAATCTCCGTATTAGCTAATAATAATATTTAAAAAGTCGAATCATACAAATCTCTTTCGAATTTGA